TTTCGCGCAGTGTTATTTCGGTCCTAGTTGTGAAATATTTTTCTCAAAATTCCTACGTGTAAAATCCTATGTTTTAACTCATTACGGATGGTCTTTCCAATGAGATCTTTTTTATGCATATAACAATAATGTTAATCAAAATTACGCACATGAAATACTTAGAACGTTTCGAGTCTCATCCACTCATTCTAAATCATTGCCGAAACAAATTCAGGAATTAAAATAGAAATCCTCCCCAGTGGAGTCGCCAAAAACTGTAGGGAATATTTCAAGCGTTGATCCCCTTAGCTTGAACCCCACTATGATCATACACTAAAGTACGGTGGCGTCCAAAGGGAAATAAGATAGAGCAAAAGAGTCGCCAACAAGTTTTTTTAGGAACTTATAAACCGTTCACGAGGTGAAGGTTACACCCCTTAACGATCCTAGAGATCGTCAACTCCATAAGGTCTTGAACCAAATCGGGTTCGGGGATGAAGGTACAAATCCAACCTAAAAGAGATTGAACCTGCCCTAATAATAGGCCTCTACTTTATTCTGATCGTATTCATGTGCGCTTTCTGACAACATACAATCAATAGGATTAACCCTAAACCTGTTTATCTATGTTGGTTGAATATTAATGCACAAATAAACTATTATTGACGATCACTTGAATTATAATCAAATTAACCCTAACAAGATTATTAATTATCTTATTAAGCGTGATTACAAGTATAAATTCCCTTTAAACATGCATAAAAGATGTGATCAAGCAATAAAAATAAATATCAAGCAACATAATAAAAATAATCATAAAATTATAATAATAATTATAATCATAACCATAATCATGAATCATAAAAATAATCATAATCATGATTAATAATCATAAATCTTGTTAAAGCATAATAATTAAAATAATCATCATAAATTATAACAATTATAATCATACTTAAAATAATCATATCAATGTTAAAACATATTCATAGCAAGATCCTAGGCATGATACTAACAAGATGAATAACAAACCCTAGCATGTTACTAAACAATAAAATCAAAGCTTTAACCCTAACATGACACTATCATGAATAAATATTAGGAAGAACATAAAAGGCATCATAACAATCATATTTAATATTAGAGTTACCCTAGACATGATACTAGGAATGAAAAGAACATCCTAAACATGATTTCTACATCATAAAATCAATAAAAACCATTAAAGTACTTACTTTGATGCCTCGTACCTCTTTCTAATAACAAAATACACACGTTAGTAACTTCAAGAAAAATAATAAACCAACAATTAAATTAAATAATTATTAAAAGAGAGATTTGGGACCAAACCCTCAGAAATTAAACCTTTCACGTCTAGGGCGAAGGCAACTTCGAATATGGCTAGGTGTATCTAGATCTAATGAATGCGAAATTTTGTATTTGAGAGAAGGCTAGTTTAGAAAAGAGAGAGAGAGAATCAAGAAAATCTTGAAGAGAGTTAGTCCATCAAAACGGAGTTTTTACGACGTTATTTATAAAGAAAATCAGCTAAAAAGATAAAATATCAAAAACAGAGTTCTGACGCGTAAAACAGGAATTATCGCGAAACGCTGAGCTTGGCGCCAGACGCCAAGGCTAGCGTCAGGCGCCAAGCGTAGCGTCAGGCGCTACAGCTGGCGTTTGGCGCTGACTCAGAAACCCACGCGTTTTCTTAAAATCAGATAGAAATTGTCGTACAGGAGGATAAAATCATACTTTTTTCCTCAAAGGTGTTCTTTGATTTTAATTAAAACTCTGAAAAGTCAACAAAAGTCAATTTATCAATGCTAATTGAATTAGGAACGAAAAGAACCTTCTAGAAGAATTTAGAAGACTAAAACCATTCCTAATTGCATTAGGAATGATAAATTATGATAGGCCCTCGTCTAGATCATTGGGCCGCACATAAGGCTCAAACCAGGCCCAGTTCAGTAATTTGGCCATAACTTCCTCAATATTCATTGGAATTGGGCTTATAATATATCGTTGGAAAGCTCTTTTCAAGCCCTATCCAACTACACTACTATTGGACCCATATAATGGACCAACCAAACTGGATTGGATGTTTTCTTAAAATCAGTTTTCAAAAATAGAGAGAAGAGAAAAGAAATTAAAAACTTTCCGCAACACTGAACTTTCCACACTTTTACTTCATTCGATTATGATTCGACGCGAAAGGCACTTATCACTAGGTTTGGTTTTGGGGGAGACACAAATGGGTGTCTACAAGTTTCAAAAAGAATAAAACACGAAGTTGTCGCCAAACACACCCCTGTCGCCAAATGACAAATCCTATCGCCAGGCGACAGACGTGTCGCCGCAACGCCAGGCCTGTCGCCAGGCGACAGCCTGTAGTGCAGCGCTGCAGTCAATTTTTCCACACGTTTTCTTATTTTGATAAAATTTAAGCGTTCGAAGGGTAAAACTGTAATTTCCTTAAAACAATTCTTTTATTCTAAATAAAACTCTTAAAACTCAATTATCAGTGCTAATCACATAAGGATTCAAAAGAACCTTCTAGAAGACTAAAATCAATCCTTATTGCATTAGGAATGATAAATCATAATAGGCCCTCCTCTAGATCATTGGGTCGCATATAAAAAATCAAACCGAGCCAAGTTTAGTAATTTGGCCATAACTTCCTCATTATTCATCGAAATTGGGCTTATAATATATCGTTGGATCCTTGCCATGGACCAAACTAAACTGGATTGGATTTTTTCATAAAATAGGTTTTCAAAAACAGAGAGAAAGAAAAGAATTAAAAATGAACCGCAACACTAGACTTTCCACACTTTAACTTCATTCGTTCATGATTCGATGTGAAAGGTAATCTTCACCGGGTTTGGTTTTGGGGAGACACAAATGGGTGTCTACAGTTAGCTTTATTTCTGATAATTTTAAAATCATCCATAATAACAATGGGAACATAATTTTAAAAGGAACTCGCAAAGGGAACACATACATTGTGGATCTTAACAAAGTTCCCAAGAGCAGTTTAACATGTCTTAGTGTTATTGAGGATGATCCTTTGCTATGGCATAAAAGATCTGGTCAAGAAAGTTTTACTCTGATTAACAAACTAATTATTGGAAGGACTTCCTTACATTAAGTTCCTATATGATAAAGTTTGTGATGCCTGTGCTAGAGGAAAACAAAATTGAAGTTCTTTCAAATCTAAAAAGATGGTAAGCACCAAAAGATTTTTGGAACTCATACATAAGGATCTCTATGGTCCAATGAGAATCCAAAGCAGAAGTGGTAAGAAATATGTAATGGTTATTGTTGATGATTATTTAAGATATACTTTTTTGTAAGTAAAGATGAGACTTTGATGAGTTTGTTGCATTTGTGAATAAATAAAAGAGAAAAACAGGTAATACATTAATACATCTAAGATCAGATCATTGAACAGAATTTGAAAACTCCAAGTTTGATGAATTCTGTACTGAAAATAGAATGGATCATAATTTCTCTGCTCCAAGAACTCCACAATAAAATGGTGTGGTGGAACGCAAGAATAGAAGCGTTGAAGACATGGCTAGGACTATGCTGATCTCAAGTAGACTGCCTAGAAACTTCTAGGCAGAAGTAGTAAATACAACATGCTATATTCTAAATAGAGTATTTGTTAGATCCATCTCCAACAAAACTCCCTATGAACTCATTAAAGGGAGAAAGCCTAATATTTCTTACTTTAGATCTTTTGGTTGTAAATGTTTTGTTCATAACAATAGTAAAAGGAACCTTGGGAAAGTTTGATGAATGAAGTGATGAGGCTGTATTTCTAGGTTATGCCTTAAATAGTAAAGCATATAGAGTTTATAATAAGAGAACAATGTGTGTTGAAGAATTTGTACATGTAATTTTTGATGAAACTGAAAAACATATTTGATTTACAAAATGATGATGACACCTTCGAGATTGGACTTGTAAGGAAGGATGACCAAGATGAAGAAGTTACATCACAGGAGAAGCAGCATAAGGAAAATATAAGTGAGCAAAACAATGAACCAAATGCATAGGAAAACAAGGAAGATGCACAAGGAACTTCTCTACAAAATTTAGACCACAAACAACCTGAATTTCTAGAAGAAGTTCAATCTAGATCACAAGACACAGTTCCAATTGAAGTTCAAGTCAACAATAATCAAGAAAGTTTGTATCCAATAAAGGACTTCGCTCCTAAGTCTTGGAAACATCAGAAGTCACATCCTGTAGCTGCAATCATGAGTGATATTACAAAAGGAACTCAGACTAGATCTCACCTTATAAACTTCTGTGCATTTTATGCATTTCTCTCTTCCATGGAGCCTAAGAACTATGTTGAAGCTTTAACTGACGCTGACTGGATTAATGCTATGCAAGCTTAGCTAAATGAATTTGAAAGAAATAAGTTTTGGCATCTGGAACATAAACCAAGTGTCCAAAAGACAATTGGGCTAAAATGGGTATTCAAGAACAAGCTAGATGAGCATGGTATTATTGTCAGAAATAAAGCTAGACTGGTTGTACAAGGTTTCAATCAACAAGAGGGAATAGACTATGAGGAAACATTTGCTCCAATAGCTAGGTTAGAGGCTATTTGATTACTTATTGCTTTTGCTACTCATATGGAATTTAGGTTGTACCAAATGGACGTTAAATGTGCCTTTTTAAATGGTTTATTAAAAGAAGACGTCTATGTGGAACAACCTCCCGGATTTGAGAATCCAGAATTCCCAAACCATGTTTACAAGCTTGATAAAGCTTAATATGGTCTTAAGCAAGCTCCCAGAGCATGGTATGAAATATTGTCTAAGTTCCTATTAGAAAATGGTTTTAAACGTTGAAAAATTGATAAAACATTTTTTTTTAAATCAAATGGAACTGACATTCTAGATGTACAAATTTATGTTTATGATATAATCTTTGGTGCAACTAAGGAATCTTTGTTCAAGTATTTTGCTGACCTTATGAGCGGGAAATTTTAAATGAGCATGATGGGAGTACTCTACTTCTTTCTTAGTTTGAAAATTAAGCAAACTAAGGAAGGTATTATGATTCATCAGCAAAAGTTCATTAAGGAACTGGTGAAGAAATACAAGCTTGAAAATGCAAAACCAAATAAAACTCCTATGGGAATATCTACCAGACTGGATGAGGATCCATCTGGAATTTGTATAGATCAAACTATGTATAGAGGTATGATAGGTTCTCTAATCTACTTAACTGCCAATAAACCTGACATATCTTTTAGTGTAGGTTTATGCGCCAGGTTCCCAGCTAATCCAAAGGAGTCTCACCTTAAAGTAGTGAAGAGAATTCATCGTTACTTAAAAGGAACTAACAATTTGGGTCTCTTCTATCCTAGAAGCGACTCATTTGATTTAAATGGTTTTACTGACACTGACTATGCAGGTGGATTGGTTTATAGAAAAAGCACATCAGGTATGGCACAATTTTTAGGACCCTTTTTAGTCTCTTGGGGTTCCAAGAAGCAAAAAACAGAGCTTTGTCCACTGCTAAAGCTCAGTATGTAGCAGCAGCAGCAGCTTGTTGCTCTCAAATGTTTTGGATAAAAAAAAAATAGGTTAGAGATCTTTGTATTATTTTTTAATGTGTTCCTATTTATTGTAATAATACAAGGGCTATTTGTATTTCTAAAGATCCAGTTCAACATTCAAAGGTCAAACATATCCACATTAGGCATAATTTCTTAAAAGATAATGTGGAGCAAGGGCACATTAAGTTAGAATTTTTTTCCTACAGAAAATCAAATTGCAGATATTCTAACAAAGCCCTTGAACAGAGAAAGATATGAGAAATTTAGATTAAAACTTGGGATGATCAAGCTGACTTGATTACTTCCGAAGTTCCAAGATATGGCAAAATCTGAAATAATGCAAATTAAAGCTAAAAGATTGCCATCACAAATATGGTGTGTTAAACATAGCTTAAGTGTCACCGTTGGTGAATTCCTAGAGGTTAGTTCGCAAACACCCAAATATGTATGTAATTAGTAATGTTCAATGCATATGTGTATATAGCGTGTTCCAAATACGTGTTTTCCTTGTTCAAATTAATGCAATCTTTAAAATAAATTGAGTTTAGAAAGAAAACGAATTTTGGAAAGTTTTTAAATTAAAGAATCCTGCTAAAATTTTGAAATAAATTGAACTTGTTCAATAAATGACCAAACGACACTTATCTCTTCATTTATTTAACAACTCTTCAACTAATATAAAAGGCATCTTTCACCCATCCCAAAATTACTCCACTGTCAAATCAATTCAACTTCACCGTAAAAAAACCATCGAAGCTTCTACATAAACTCAAAACCTCAAAACATGGTTATCATCACTTCACTTAGTTCCTCAGACATTTCTCGACACAATTCAAGATCAGAACCAGAAATTTCTTCACCCTTAGACATGGTCTCATACAAAGAAAAGGAGAAATCCCCAACTGTAACCCCACTGAAAACCCTCCTACCTCTTCTACCTCAACCAGAAACCCTAAGGAGAAGAAATTGAGTGAGAAGGAAGAAGAAATTGTAGATATCTTTGCGAAGTTGAAGGAATTGAAGGAGAGGAAAAATAGTGAAAGAAATGTTGAAGGCCACATCAAGGAGGTCGAAGACTTTGCGGCCGGAATTACTTAGTCTGGGGGAGAAGATGATCAAATCGAAGAAGACATCATAACTGATCAATAAAAACTTGAGGCTCGGGACGGAAGGTATGTAGTAGGACATAGAATAGATTTAACTTGGTGTAGGAAGGCTAGGTTTCTGGAATTTTTGGATTTGATCAAGTTCCAGGATTGGGAGTTTTTGCTTTTTAGGGCTTCGAACAATTGCATGTATCCTATAGCCATGATTGAATTCTGTCAAAATTTTGAAGTAAAACAAGGAGTTATCTAGTGAAGTAAATGAAATAAAATTTAAGTTTGATGTAGAAAACCCTAGGCAAAATTCTGAAAATGCCAACAGAGGGTTATGAAACATATATTAAGGGAAAATCAACAGTGAAGATTAGAAACTCTTTGGATGCTGATATTGTTGTGTCTCTAGGAGGAAAGAGAGGGAAAAATACAATGAGTCACAATGATTTGACACCCCCAAATAAACTGTTGTTCAACTTGGTAAAGAAAACTGTCCTGCCCAGAACTCAAAAGAAAGGTGAAGCTTGTTTAATGGACATGGCCGTTATATTTTGTTTGTGTAGGAAGATTAAGATCAATCTTCCATTACTCATGTATCAACATTTGGCTCACTATGTTCCTAGCAAGAACAAAGTGGGCTATGGAGCAATCTTGTCCACTGTTTTTGAATCTCTTGGAGTGGTGTTGAAAGGAAACTATGGAGCTCTAGATGAGAAGCAGAGAATGTGATAAATGAGGAAACCCTGCTGGATCTTATCCTAGAAGTTGTTGGAGGCAAGATTCAGAGGGTTGAAGAAAAGAAAGAAAAAAGAGCATCGACTGGTGAGAAGAGGAAGGAGACACCTGTTTTTTGAGAACATGTAAGGAAGAGTAGAAGGATGTCTGCTAGAACTCTTCCTAAGACCAGCACTGAGGAACCTTTGGAACTGGATGCTGATGAAAACATGCTTGAAGGGCAAGTTATCGAATTGACTGATAGGATTGAGGTGGTAGAGAAACAACTTAAAGAGGCTACAGGAACAGTTCAGAAGCTAGAAAGGAGAGTACAGGGCTTGGAGAAGAGTCTCAGGGAATAGAAGGTGGAGTTCTAGAAGACTATTCAGGAACTGGAAGATAAGATGGAGGCCATTATTAAGCATAAGAAGGAAGATAACAAGAAGATATTGTAGTTCCTCAAGAGTTGACTAGTTAGAAGCTTGCCAGCCTATCCTTAGCCTATCCTCAGCCTGGCCTAGCATAACTTTGTCTTTTCTGCTGTTAAAGTTATGAACATGTTCTGTTTTTGGTTACTTTTGAAAATATTTTTTTTAATTGGATAAGCAGGATAATATTTTTGTTTTAATTGAATATTTGGAACTTATCTTATACTTATGTGTGTTGTGCGTTATGAAAACATGTGTATGCAAGTTGAACTTAGCTAATATGGGTTAGGTAGTGTTGCCTTCAGTTTTCCACACTTAATGAATTGCTTGTGGGGCTGTGGCTGGTAGTAAAATACACTTGAAATGCAGAACTTTTTTAAAATGCCAAAAGGGGGAAAAGAAGAAGCAAACTTGAAGGTTGAAGTTGTTCTGGATTCTAGTTGATAAAGTATAAGAAACTTTCTCTGATGCCTCTATGTTAACATAGTTTTTATAGTTTCTATGTTTATGTTTTGCTTGTTTTATTTCGTATTAGTTGTGTTATGTATTTGTTCTGTTTTTGTTTTGCTTTTGTGTTGATACTTAGTTTTGTTTGCATGTGTTTTTGGTCCTTTATTAAAAAAAAAGAAAAAATATTTCCTTCTTACATACCTTAAATTTTCATCAAAGTTTGCTAAAGTTTGTCATCATCAAAAAGGGGGAAATTGTTGAAGCTTGAAGGTTTTGATGATGATGAATTCAAACTAAGAAAACTTCGAATCTAATAAGAGTTTTCTAAGTGTTGTGATCTAGACAGGAAAATTTGACTTTGGAAGTTGAAGAGTAGCTTTGTCTTTCAAAACTCTAGAAAGCTCAAGGAAAGTTAAGATAAAGAGAAGAAGAGTTCCCTCATAGGAACTAATAGATTTCCCTTACAGGAACCTGAAGACAACAAGGCATGAAAGTGAATTGGTCTGTGACAGAGACAACAAGTTCTGAAAAACTTGGTATGCGAAGTTCCAGTTTAAGACTGGAAGAATATTGACATCGGGAACTTAGTCCTGGACCGCGTGAAGCCCAAGCATCCTACGCAATTAAAGTATTGGCGCAACAATTTAGGTTAAATAATGTTTCATCTTTAGAAATTGTTGTAAAAAGGTCAAGTAGGTTAGGCATGAGATTTATTAGAAAATATGACAAAAGCTTGGCAAGCGTGTTAAAATTGGGAAGTTAAAAAGATAAGGTTTTAGAAAAGATTTTCATTGGAAAAATATTTATTTCTTAAAAAACTAATTATCTCAAAGAATTTATTCTTTGAGATAATTTAGCTTTTTTATATTTTCCTAAAAGATTTTCTTTCAAAGATTTACTTAAAACCGTGTTTTTAGATTAAGGAAAAATTTACATGTTTATCTTTTAAAACCCTACTTTCTATACAAGCTAGACTTGTATATATAGTAGAAATCTAAAAATACACTTTCGTGATATGAGTTTATGCGTGAAGAATATCTATGAGTGCTTAATTGTGTAATTTTGTCGAGCTTTTAGTTTTGTCATAGTATTTTCGGATTTCATGCATTGCTTACCTCTCATATAATATGTCTTTTCTTTATTATTGGTTGGGATATTAGGTGTGTGATTGTATTAAGTCTTTGCATACAATAGTGAGATTTGTATTTAGAAAGTACGAGTGAGTCTAAGTCATGGACATAGACTGGGTAGGATAGAGTCCTATTGTATAGCAAGTTCATTCTGGAACTTGTGGGTAAAGGTCTGAACATAATAGGTTTGTAACTTGTGGAGTTTGCCCTATTATAGTGAATCAGTTTTGTTTGGAAATCCCTTAGAAGGGTCGAGGTTTTACTTCCAGTTGGGCCCTGGAAGGTTTCCTCGTAAAATATTGTGTGCATTACTTGTTCCTTTAAAGTTGTTTTATATTCTGTGAACAATAGTCAATAGGAACTCACATGCAACTCACCCCCCTCTTGTAGTGTTCGTCTTAACTAACAGAAAAACAATCTAGTTTAACAAAAGGAGATATCAAAAGACATGCAGATCTTGGGAGCTAATTTTTTTACTAATTTTGGTCGATAATTAAGGTATTTAGGATGAATAGCAGAGGAGGAGGAAGAATAAGAAAGAGAAACAATGTTAGAGAAGAGAGTGAAATTAGATAATGGCTAGTCTTGGTAATTAAGTGGATATAGTCATACCAAGTAAACTTGAAATGATTTATTTGAAATTCCAAATTTTCCCAAACAGCTAATTTGGATTTGAATGTAAGTAATTAGAATACCAGATTTGAAATTAAATGCTTCAATCCAAACACTACCTTGGTGGAATCTCTGTTGACTCTTGTTTTTTAGCCGCTTCCTTTCTATGCTCGACTCGAAAATAGTAAGTGACGTTTAAAATTTTCCTGTTGCTATCTTTCCTCTTTTCAATTAGGAAATTTTGTCAGATTACACCTTTTAAATGTGATTTGTTGTGAGAAAACACCTTATAATATTTTTTTTTTGTGAAAACACACCTAATACCAGAATTTATTTGTAAAATAACATCTAAGGGTGGTTTCAGGCATGTTGACTTGGTTTCACGGCATTGACCACCATGTGTGACTCACGTGCGCCAATTTACCCCTTCCCTTCTAATATTTTACCCTTTCTTTCCCTCCAACTCTATTTTCTCTCTCCTCTCAATTTCTTTCTCTCTTCTCTCAATTACTTCTCTTTGTGTTGCTGCTCACATCACCATTAAAAGATTCTTGAACTTGCTCGGCCATGGCAGTGACGAATTGAATGCTTCAATTCGTTGTTTAAATTTGGCTAAGGAATTGGGTAAGTTTAAAATTTTCTCTCCCTCTCATTTGTTACTCAATTTCTGTTTGAGTACTTGCCTAAATTTCTCTTTCCTTTTCTTTGTGTCTGTCATGGGTAAGAAAGGGAAGCCTCGGCAAAACTGCTACCTCTATCCCCAAATAAAAACCCTAATTCCAATTTAAAACCCTAAATTACGATAATTCACAAAATCAACAAAATTAATCGAATAATTCTTTAATTAATGCTACTTACCTGCCTCATAATTATGCCAATTGAGTATATTTGCAGAAATTGGAGCTCAAATTTGGAGTTCACCTTCTTCAAAGGGGAGCAATGGAGTTTTGGTGGAAGAGCAGAAGTTTAATTGGGGAATAAATTGAGAGGATAAAGAAAATAAAGTTGGAGGGAAAGAAAGGGTAAAAAATTAAAAGGAGGGGGGTAATTCGATGTACGTGACTCCCACGTGGTAGTCTTATGATAAATCCCAAACTTCTTTTTTCCACCTTCATCTAAGTCTTGGTAGATTCGTGGACTATCGTCAATTTTTTGTGAATCGAATTCAAGATTGGGTGTCAAATTAAACAAGTGGTTTAAATTTGGGGAAATCACAGTCCAGAATTTCAATAAAATCTTTCTGTTTGTATGGAGGATGTCGGAGATAGATATGTTATGTTAGAGCAAGGGTCGATAGCATACCAATATGCCCTTCTAGTTTTCCAACCTTGGACTCCAGTTTACTCTATCAGGGACATAATTTTTGACAAGGTTGACATATGGGTGCATCTTGATGAGATACCTTTGAACTTATGCAATATTAATGTTGTTACGTTAATGCTTTCTTTAGCTGGGAACTTTTTCTGTATTGATGGTCCTCTTCCAAGTTCAATTGGATGCTTGAATAAAGTAAAACTCCAAATTCATATTTTTAAACCGTTGCTACCAGGTTTCTTTTTTGACATTGGAAACTCTGAATTTAAGTGGATTAATATTAGATATGGGAACTTCACTACTAAAATTCAATTGAATTGCAACTGGTTTTTTTACAACCTTCAAGAAAACAA